CATCACTTATAAATATGAAAATTTTGCTTATACACATAAATACACATACACGGAAAATATGCACTCATCGGGAGCCCACATCTTTCTTTCGCAAGAGGAAATTTCCTACTCAGGTAACATTTCTCAAATTGTATTCATTACGTCCGAGACGTGACAATTATATTATCAACGTACCTTTTCGAGCTGTTTACTCAGTTTAGTGATTATCTTTTGTATTTTTTAATATAAGCTTAATATAAGCTAAGGGGCACGAAACACGAGTTAAGAGCTCTTCATCTTCCGTTTCTTATCCATAAATCGCTGCTGACGTGCAAATTTTCCATATCTCGCAATCGGTATTTGACTAGTCTTGGCGAAGTCCAAGTTCTATCAAATATCTGATACTAATCAATCAAAGACACGACCGCGTTCTCTGACCAAATACAACAGGTCAAGCTACACGTGCGACAAGACAGATCGCATTGCAAGGGTGTTCCATATATCTGGTATAAGTATGAAGAATGTAATTCTAATTTTTTAAGTTTGAATGATTATAACGTGCCATAACAACACGTCAAACTCGTTTTAATAACATAACAGCTATCAACACGTATAACTAACAAATATCATGTTTTATTTAATGGGACAGTTTAAAATAATCTAAGTTACTGACGAAATTATATTGGACATTAAAATAATTATTTTTACATATTCAAATTATAAAGTGGCGAGTAAAAGGTTTTTTTTGATAAAAATATATAAAATATCAGTCTGTATATATAGGACAAATAATAAGAAGAATTAAAAGAATAATCTTTATATTGTTTTTTAACGAAAAGTGAAATTTGAGAAAATGAAAATAATTGCTTATATGTCTATAATGCAAAGTTACTTTAAAATTTTTTTACCATTAGCTATGTTACTTTTACTGTAGAAGAAATAATGGAGAAATATTTCTCCATATATTTTCTAAATTTTATTTAATATAGATAATAGTTTAACTATTCACACATTCACACTGACATCAAGTCTACTCAAAGTCTTAATTATATAAATAAATCGTTTCTTCTTATTTTCATTTTTTTTCTCTGAATGAAACGGAGAAGAAATAAAAAAGGATACCAAATGGAATTCCATTTATCGCATAGACGTCACGGTTCTCCATCAATATGTTTTGATCAATTAATCGTTATCGTTAAGAAGAGCTAGTGACGCGAATAATTATAGATGGAAATAAAGAGGCTCTTCGTTTGATGAACTTGCATCTGAACTGATTTCACAATCAGTTTATCGTATAAATAGATATAATATTTTATAATTATACTCAATAAGTTCTGGTATTCAAAAGCATACATGAAATAAAAAAGTATATATTCTCATATATTACAAAAAATATTAAAATACACAATTATTTGTCGATGATTTCGTATTTTAATATTTTTACTATTTACTACAGAATAATCAATTTATATAAGAACCATTATACGACTACATCAATAAAATAATGGTAATTAACGTTAATCTCGGAAGCAATATTATTTAAGTAATTAATGTTTAAATAATGTTATGTTAATAAAATTTTAGTCTCCTATATAAATTCGTATTTTTGTGTCCCTATATATTCTTTTTAAATTTAATATATCTTCCATATATATATATTATAAATTCATTTAAGATGGATCATATTGTGAGTCACGTAATTTGTTATATATCTCTGATATATGACTAACCAAGATATCGAAAAAATCTCTTGATAACGATAAGAAAGAAATATTTGTAACATAGAAGAAAACTTTTAAAGTTTCTACTCCAAAATTTATCTCTACATCACAAGTTTTTATCAAATAACATGTATTCTTTTTACGTGAAATTGTTTAGAAGAGATCGAGATAATTACAAACGCGTGATTTTCGAGTGATTTTAAAATGTCCTTCATTGCGCAACATCTTGACATCGTAAATATATTGACACCTAAAAGTTACATTTTTTTATCATTATCGACATGCTCGTGCACTCGACATGCACATATCGCGTTTAAATATTATAATTATGACTATGTGTTGTATTAGCGTCATAATGTTATCCTAATATAAATAACAAATTAAGAATTTATAATAAATTAAGCTTTTGAAATTAAAATATTTAACAAACTTAAATTCTCAAAAATTGACAAGAATTGAGATTAATATACCCAAGCAGACACAAATCATGATAACGTCAAAATGACTCTATAAAAATGATTCTAAAATAATTATTAAAAGTTGATGTAAAAAAACGCTAATTCAACGTTTTGATCATCAGTGCGCCTTTCAATTATGATTAGAATTTAGTATCTTTTTAAATTCTTTTTCCAAAAAGTTATTTTACAGCGCATTATATACAATATTGCTAATTATGAATATTGTAATTGCAATATAGTTTTTTCACCTAATTAATCAACACATTTGAAAAATTTGTCGTCCAGCAAATGAAATGGTATTCTTAAATCGCATCGTGTACATACCATTGGCTTTATATCCAATAAAAAAATGTAGTTCCTAGAGATAAAATTATTCTGTACATTCCCTAGAAAGTTTGCTTTCCTATTGGATATAGCGCCGCCATAACATTCAACGTCGAATGCAGCATAAATTCTCCACGAAATAATCAAATAATGAATACGAAGTTTCACGATTCTTCACGAGAGGTCTCTGTAGTACCTCTTGTCGGTTTCCATACGAGATAAACGCGACCATCTTGTATCTTCGGTCACTCAACAAGATCCGCGTAGATCCTGGGAATTTCTCGTATACATTATCTGTATCTATGACAATTTAAAAACATGGCTACCATGTGTAAATGAATTGGTTGATTCGCACGCTGTAAACAAGTTTCTATCTTCAATTTGTCATGAAAGCTCTGTTTCGCGTTACCGATCGCACGAATTACCAATCGACAGATACGTGCCCCGTACCCTGAGGCTGCATCGACGGTCCATCGAGAGCGCCAACCAACTTTCGGGAGTGAAAGCCTCCACGCGAACTGACAGTAGCGCAGATTCTGTTTTCCACGGGCGACCGATATCTGTTGCCTTCGTTGCCATCACCTGGAAGCATATTTCGTTTAGCTGCGAAACCGAAGTGCATTGCAAATTCATGTGGAAACTCTTCCGAAAGTAATAGCATTATTAGTTTCTTAGTCGAGACGTTCCAAAATCACTCATTAACTATACATATATACATATATATATATATATATGTCTATTTCTATTGCAGATGCAATTAAGGAGATTCTGAGAAGTGGAACGTGAGAATTTTGCGCGCAGTCTTTATCATTACAGAGAGAGCACCATCCTATAATAGATATCCATGGATATCGCAGGTTATGATACCATTATGCGCCATCCAAAAACCATCATCCATTTGGATGTCGACTGCTTCTACGCTCAGGTGGAAATGATTAATCATCCTGAATTGGAAGGACGGCCGTTAGGTGTGCAGCAAGGGAGTATGGTGGTCACTAGCAACTACTTGGCGAGAGAATATGGAATAAAAAAATGGATACCGGTGCAAGAAGCCCTGCGTCTGTGTCCGGAGCTGGCCTTGGTAAATGGAGAAGACTTAACAAACTATCGTCACTACTCGACCAAAATATTTGAAATTCTGCACCAATTTACCCCATTAGTGGAAAGACTGGGCCTTGACGATAATTTTCTTGATGTGACGTTGATAGTGGAAAAACATCTCAAGTCTCAGAATGATACGGAACTCGATATGAGCAGCTCGAGTACAGAATTTGAAGATTTGAAAGAAGTCACCAAGATATTCGGTCCCTCGGAGGAGGAATGTCCATGTGGTTGTCATACACGCTTGATGATTGGCTCGAAAATAGCGGCCGAAATAAGGAGCCGCATCTATGAGGAACTGCATCTTACTTGCAGCGCTGGAATAGCGCACAATAAACTTCTGGCCAAATTAGCAGGATCGTTGAACAAGCCAAATCAACAGACGTTGGTCTTTCCGTGCGGCGGTCCAATGTTACTCTCAGCGTTAGGTTCTGTGTCCAAGATACCTGGCGTTGGACAAAAGACCACAGAATTATTGTTATCGAACAATATAAAAACGATTGACGACGTGCGCAGAATACCTTTAGAAAATCTGGAACTAAAAATTGGCGTTGATCTGGCGAGAAGACTGAAGGACAATGCGGAAGGAATCGATGAGACAGCGGTAAAACCATCTGGAAAGAAACAATCCATAGGTCTGGAAGATGGATTTAAGAGTGTGTCGCTGGTGGCCGAGGTAGAGTCGCGATTAGGTGCGTTATTGAGAAGATTAACGGAATTGGCAATGGAGGATGGTAGAATTCCCATTGCCATGAGAATAACAGTGAGGAAGCATGACTTGAACAAGCCCACTTCGGGTAAGAGAGAGACTAGGCAATGCGCGTTGCCAAAACATCTTTTACCGTCCACGAAAAACGGTGTGTATGATCACCATAAAATGTCGATACTCGCCATGAAGCTATTCCATCGAATAGTCGACGTCTCCAAGCCATTCCACTTGACACTTCTGGGAGTTGCGTTCACGAAGTTCGAGGAGAGATCGTATGGCAGGAGTAGCATCGCACCCTTCTTGTGCAAGCAAGTCGCCGTCCATTCCGTTCTAGACATCAGCTCTGAAGAAGGTATACCCGAAGCAAACCAAGGATCGCCGATGAGTATTAATCAAGACAGTAACGACAGCTCGGATCAATCAGCGATGAGCTTGATGACCACCGCTTCGTCGAGTTTTTCGTGCTCACCAATCTCGAAATTGTGCATGGCAAGTCAGAATACAGAGGACGACTTGCAGAACGAGGTAGAACCACTACCGAAGAAAACCAAGCTGGAAGTGTGGCTGCGAGGTCCTCGAGAATCGCCGAGTAACGAAATGGCTGGTCTGAGACTAAGCCCTTCATCGCCAATGCAATTGTCACCCACGGTGGACTCTACGGTTTTCAAGACTCTGTCCATTGAGAGGAGAGAGGTCACTCGTTCTTGGCCCACGACCAGCAAACCGAAACCAAACAATATACTTAAATATTTCATAGCCAATAAGTGACGGAGCTCCGTGACCTAGTATTGAATGTCGCGTTTACATGTGCACTTCGATCGGCAACATTAAATGGCAGCACCATATGATATTATGCAGGATATGATTCTTCACTCTTAATATTTTGGATGCCAAATTTTAGAGTACAAAATGTGATGTATTGTCAGGCTCATTTTTTTTTCTAAACTAAAATAAATTGAAAAGACTTGCGGTGTCCATATATACATTTACGGGGTATATGCATCTAAAGCTTTGTTTCATTAAAAGCAGAAGAGATACTACAGTATTAATAAATGGTAATTTGAATCTGGATATACCGTGCAAAATAGACACTTGCAATACTTTCTTTGAACTAGCATGATGTAGAAAACAAAGCTTGAGTAATCAATACTTATGTCGCTTCTTTTTTACTATGATGCTCTAAATTGATGTCCTAAAGCTTCGACGTGTAACTAAGAATGATCCTGCATAAATTTCTCTTTTGTGCCTTTATATCATATGTGTTTCAATATTTCAAGCAAAGTGCATTTGCAGATTTTACACGATGGAAGATCTATATACACATATAGACACATGTGTATAAGTATGCGTATGTGTGTGCGATTGCGTGTGCGATTGCGTATGCGTGTACCGTGTGTATGTATATCTGTGTTCAATTGCATTTAATATATTGTCCTAGTTTTATATAATAAGATGAGAGATCATAGCTTTATATTGATCCATTATAGTCGATGTTATTTTTTACATTACTTTCGACAGCAACAATGAAAAAATAATATATAATGGTATTTTTAATTACAATTATTTTCCAACGTTATTTTATCAATAATATGCTTCTAAAAAAGAGTTATGTATTCAGTTGGAAATAATAATTTCGTTCTATTATAATTAATAAACGAATTTTTTTTAGAAAGAACAATTGTCTTGAAGATTTTGCAAGTTGCAATATTTGTCATTCATGCTGTCACTTTTACTATAATGCAATATGAGCTATATTCATTTACTGTAACGTATATGATTTCTAGATGGACACAATACATGTATTAAAACCAGCCTGTTTTTTAATTGAACAAAATTACAAAAAGAATATATTTATTTAGCTTATACGATAAATTCACACACAGTTGCAGAAGCATTTTAAACGAGTTAGTTAGCGTATTAAACAGGTATACGCCTATACGTAAGTGAGGTAAGGTGCTGGCATTCGATGTTGTAATTCTTGACGGATAAGTAATTATATAATTTAACGTCCTGAGAAGAAAATTCTATTTTTAGTACTGTTAAATCAAGGATCGAAAGCGGTATAATTTCGCTGAATTTAATTTTCCTTGCTACAGACATACGAAAGAGAATCTTACGTCAGTTATCACATTTTCATTGTTATAAAAAAAAGGTAAAGATCTTCGTTTATCCGTAGCATCGAAATCTGAATTCACAGGTGAATTATTGCTTTCGATCTTTGCTTGTGTAATATATCATATCGGGCGATTATTGCGCGAAAGAGAGATACTCGGTTATTCCCGCCAGGATTAGCCACTAGCGTGGAGATTCTCTTATTGAGAAATATAGTATATAAATATATATGTAATTATTCGAAAGACATATACTAGACAATCATAAAGTTTTAATGCCACTTCTCATTACGGCACATGGTGATTATTATATATATATATATATATTTAGATATATATGTATATATGTATGTATGTATACGCGCATATACACGTGCACGCGCGCGCACACAGCATTAAATGTATTAATATATGTCGGATATATATTTCGTGATATATATGTATATACACACATACATACGTGCATATACATACATACATATATACATATATACAGGATGTTTTAGGACAGGTCAGTAAAACTTCAGGGTCCTATTGGAAATTGAATTTGGAACAAAAAAGTTATATAAAACCTATAAAACATAGATCCGGAAACGCTTCCTTAAAAAATTTACTTGAAAAAAAAGGGATAGTATAAAGTACAAAGGTTACATTAATGAGACCATTCAGAAGGAAAACAATTTTATTAAAAAAGTAAAAGAAAAATACTTTTTAACCAAATTATCAAATATGTTTAAAATGATGTCCCTGTTTATTAGTGCATTTTTGGCATCCATGCAATACTGCATTGTGCTATAACTTTTTAACGAAGCATTTCCGGCCCTACGTATTTTTAGGAACTTTTTTATTTCAAATTCCTGGACCTGGACCTGGAACATCCTGTATATATGTATGTTTCTGTATATGTACGTGTATGCATACGTATATCACGAAAACACACCATCCATTGCTGACTGCGTGACACGGGACATCCATACGAGAGTTACGATTTTACTTTTTACAGATACTTAAAGGACGTTTGTCGCATACGTACAAGAGAGTCCACAGGTGATAAATTGAAACGATGTAGCTTTTGTATTTGCGAAAACACAGAATATTCATTAAGATTGCTTACGTTGTTTAAAGAGAAAGGAAGGAGAGAGAAGAAGCAGCGATATAGCACCCTAAAGGCTCTCTACCGAGCTTTTATATTTTTATTTATTTTTATCATTACAACATAAGCAAAACGGTGTTGTCTTTATTTTTAATTTCTGGTTGTGAGTACCTATATTTGCATATTTTATACGGACTTCGTTTAGACGGGAATATACGCGGCGTTGCGAAACGACCGCACGCGGGTCAACGTCGAGGTCGAGATCAAACGCAGAACTTCGCGCCTGGAATAACAATACCGTCGGATATCGGCATCGAGAGAGAGTCAGTTACGCGCGATACAGGGCGTCTTTGACTCTTTGACAATGCGCACGCAACGCCGCAATTTACAATACTTCCGATTTATTTCAATAAAAGAAAAAAAAATCTGAAATGCAACATCGCTGCGTCCTGTTGATTCTACAATCCATCCTCGACATATTTCCTTGTATGATTATATTAATTTAGTATTCATAGTCATTTCACGGAAGAAGGATGCAACAACCTTCTCTCGTTTAAATTGCAAAAAATGTAATAAATACAGTAGTTAGGGGGAGATAAATAAGTCTGTTGTATATGTACATATATATAAAATTAAAATCCATGTTTATTTTAACCGTAAAAACGCATAAAAGTTTAAAATTAAACAACTCGAATTATAAAATCGCTCGAACGTCATTCATGCGGATAAAAGAGATGTCCTAAAATTTTCAATTAATTTTTTATTTTTTATTTTCTTCTATTATTTTATTTTATTTCCATCTCACAATTTTTTAGAAGAAAATGCGTCATAACGCGAAGATATGCACGCGCGTTATCGAGTCACCAGACTCGGCAAATGTATCAAAGAGATACAAGCACAAGTGTGAGGTCGAAGTGAATTTTACGAAGCGCATATCTGGGCGTACAGTATAGGTATCGTTCACCGTGAAATTGAATAACCGATGACGTAATTATATGAAATATAAAATTATCGCGAGATATAAAATGCACGTTCCACCTACCATAAATTCGCAATATTGAATAATGTCATTGCTCAAGTTTTTTTCGTTCAAACGAAACAAATTCTCCAAAAAAAAAAAAATAACGCTAACGCATTTGCCATATAATGCCTATTTCTTTTTTATCTTTTACAATAAGTAATATTTACAATAAGTACAATAAGTACTGTGAGCGAGCGTGGCATAGCAGACAGCGCACTGATCTGCTAAACCAAAGATCTCAGGTTCGAATCCAGTGCTGGTAGAATCAAAATAAATAAATTATATCGCTTGTCTCTCCTCCTCGACGGAATGGCAGCCCGTCAGGAGTATCTCTTGCCTCGAAACCCCTTCTACCTTGCCGTTCGGATTCGGCATTAAACTGTGTAGCTCCCATGTGCTTGTGTACAACCTGTGTGCGCACCACAAGCACATGACTTTGGGGGAGGCCTAGGTCCGACTCGGACTGTTGCACCTACAAAACAATCTGAATATAGAAAAGTATATTTACCTTATTTCACAAATCTGGTCATTTAAAAATAAATATTCTGTCGTCGGTAATTTCTTCTATAGCAGAACCGTAGGCCGATGTATGGGTTAAAAAATCTTCTAAACGGTTCTGCTATGGGAGAAATTACCCACGATAGAATATTTAGATGACCAGATTTGTGAAATAAGGTAAATATACTTTTTTATATTCCATACACAAGTAAGATCATTGTTGAGACTTGATTGTTCAATGGTGCTAAAAGCCACTTTTGTTCTTTTTTGGTTTAGCCACCAATTGGCTATAGATTGCCAATCTAATTCTCTTATTGAATACGAATTACTTTATACAATTTGATATAAATAAATTTCAAAGGAAATTACTTTTTACAAAGTAAATACAGACACATAGTCTTAAACGTGTGTATCAAATGTTCTTTTAAACAAAATTATTACTTATATTTTTACCGTAATTACGATTATATTTTCTATATTCCATAATGTGATTAAACGCGATAATTGATATCTTTTATATCGTCAATTATGTAATCATATTTTGTCTTAAATTGCGTTTTTTTAATGTATCTGAAACTGATATATAGAACATAGAACAAATAGCATATAGGTAATGAAAAAAATATTTGTTAAAGCAAAATGATTTTATAGTTTTTATTACAAATAATTTTAAATGTATAAATCGTAATAATAATATGTAAATATATGCGAAGAGAATTTATGCAAATGCTTTTACTTATCATTTTATTCTAATCGTATAAAGATTATTGACCATCTTTATCGCGCCTAAGTTGCCCGAATCGCGCTTGAATTGTGATTTAAACATTTCAGCAGTAGGGCGATCCTTTTTACAGTAACGATAGCAACTATTTCCGGCCATAAATTTCCGTAGCTACCGGCGTATCACCTTGCCCTATCACATTGCGTGCGTGAGATACATCCGGACTATGTATTTTCTTTTTTGTCTGACCTAAATTTAAATGTTTCCTTAATTGTCATCGTTTACTGAGTATATAAGAGCCGGTGGTGGACGAGTGCGAAGATTGGCATTAAACTATTGTACCAAACATTGTGGAAAAACTCCGTAAAGCTCTTGCTGATTAATATCATTGTTTATTAAAAATGTTGTCGATACTCTGCATCTTAAGTATTGTCGCAGTACATGGACTGTCAGGTAAGAACATCAAGACTTCTACACGCTAGCACGCATATTCAATAAATATGAATTGATAAAATTTAAGCTTATTAATTTATTGCGTTTGTGTGTGACATAATTTATTGTATATTAGAATAATCTTTTAGTCGATTTACTAAATTAAACAATAATAATAAAAAGATCAAAAGCGTCCGAAAAGTTCGATGCTAAACAATCTAATATTAAAAATAATTCTGAAAATAATTCTACATATTGATGTATAAGTAAATATAATAAAATATTGCGGAATTCTTTTATATGAAAGGTGCTTTTATAATTGCATAGCCGAGTCAATCGAACAGATCCCGAAAATTGTGGGCGGCAATCCTGCTGATGATGGACAATATCCCTATCAAGCATCTCTTCGTTATCGCGGCCGCCATTTCTGTGGAGGTTCCGTGATAGGTAAAAGATGGATCCTTACAGCTTCTCATTGCTTATCCGGGTATGTGCCAGCGGCTGTTTAGAATAACATTATTCCATATAACATATATATATCTTAATAAACAACGTATTCCACAATTTTCTAATAAACCTACAATTAATTATATATTTAAATTTGTTATATTGAAAACAATTTGTAATTCATTTTGACTATAATGTTGTCGTATTTTCTTGAAACGAATAAAAAACGTATTAATTTCAAAATTTTTGTTTATTATAAGTCTAAAATTACGGTAAGAGTTTGAGATAAATAATCATTAGCCGTTTATAATTTCATATATGGTTGTTTATATATTTATTATCTTTTATTTAAGCTTCAATGACACGGCCATTGCTGTTGTATTGGGCACAAACACTCTGGACAAAGGTGGCGATAAGTATTCCTCGATCAAGAAATGGGTACATCCTTATTATAATTCGGCCTTCATCAGAAATGACATCGGATTAATTAAGCTGGACAAGGATATCGTTTTTGGAGACAAAGTGAAACCGATTGCTCTGCCCACCAAACGCTTCGAAAAATCCGATTATCCGGCGACGTTGTCCGGTTGGGGTACTACCAGCGTAAGAAAGACTTGACAATCTTCATATGTTCGAGAAATGTAAAAATTTGACCGTTGCGTATTTGTAAATTGACACGTGTAGTATACATATGCATGCAAATAATAGTAAGACCATTGTCAGTTTTCCGTGAATTCGAGACACCCTGTATTCCTTGTTAATTAATTGTCGGATTTAAGTAACCATTTCAGTACTTTAAATTTGATATTTAAATGATCATTTAAATCAGTCGGTTCATTTAAATAATCATTTTGCGTGGGCAACATTACAGTATCCGGGGGAGGCGCCGAACGAATTGCAACATATCCAGCTCACAGTCATCAATCAAAACCAATGCTTAAGCACCAGCTTTCGTAACACTAACAACAATATCTGCACACTCAATAAACGAGGCGAGGGTGCCTGTCACGTAAGTACATTCCAGTCTGTTTGAGTATCCAGGAAGAGAGCCTTTTCGCGAGGAAATGCATGCATGACATCGACAATTATACATACTTAGCATTTATTTATTTTAGCATTGATAGCATTTAGCAAGATTAAAATCCCAAAGATATTAAATGCTCAATTGGAAAACTTATCTTCGAACTATTTTAGATCCGCTTATTTCTAAAATTGTAATAATCGCAAATATGCAAAGCTAAAAAAGAATCGGTAGAAACAATGTATCATTACATTTTTCTTTGAAAAGAAAAAAAAAAAAATACTTTGGATATATTGATTATATAAATTTAATCACATAACAATTAAATTTAATGTGTGTTGCACACAACACATAAACGAGTTTGCGCAAATAAAATTATAGTTAACGTTTGTTAAGAAGGAGTTGTTAAAAAGGAGCAACATTTAGAACAGAGAATTTGTCACATTATTTATATGTGTGTAGGGTGACTCTGGCGGTCCTCTGGTAGCCGATGGTGAACAGATTGGTGTGGTGTCCTGGGGAATTCCTTGCGCTAAAGGACGTCCGGATGTATTCACGCGAGTCCACCCTTATATGGATTGGCTCAACAAGCTCATGCAAGAAGATAACTCCGTATAAACATAAACGATCACGGGTCATTTGGCTCATGAATACTTCTTATAGCAATTATAAAATTTGCAGAACAATGATAAATACTTAGAAATTAATTCTCATTTTGGCAATAAGAAATTAATTGTCAAATAGTAGAGTTAATGGCAATCTTATTTCAATCGTTCAACGTTTACGATGTTTCTAAAGTAAAATTCATATAATTTCGTTTGCATCGCGCATGTAATAAATAAATAAATTTAAGTATATTTCTTCACGTTATTTAAGTTTCATCTAGCTCATTTCCAATGAAAATAAAATTGCGAAATAATTAAGTGATGCGCAATGCGAATAATGAATATATAATACAAGTAAATAACAAATAGAATGTTTATTCTAAATAAGAATTAACTAAATATTCATTTAAATGATAAGTAACTCAATAGCAGAGGTGAGGTTTTCAAGCGTGAACGATTTAACTCCTCAGCTGCCTGTCGAGACTAAACAAACGTGTGTTGCACCGACTGTGTTTCGCCAAACATTTATTTTTCTTAACTTGAAACCGCCATCACTCCTCGACCGATAGTTGAAAATTCAACAATCGACAATCGAGGAGATTGGAATATAGCGTTATATGCCTTTTTCTCAACGATTAACTTATTAAATCTGCGCAATATTAATAAATGTTATGTCAAATTTAGTAATATTTTTTGGGTTGTGTTGGTGTATCTTATTAATTATAAGCAAAATGAAATATAAAAAATTATAAAACTCGTAATAAAAACTCTACAACTCATTATCTATAAATTATTGCTGAATTATTTTCCTTTTTTATATTATGCGAACGCGATAATGATAAATGCATGAAAATGGGACACGCATTCGTCATGCGTGTTTCACAAACGATACATCTACACGGCCAGTAACGTGATCTAGATTAACCGAATATTACGCATAATTGGCATTAGCATAATTTCAACAACAGTAGACATTATGTCGCGTCAAGCAGAATGAACCTCTTAGCTGTGAACATTGCACACATACAGAGGCTCATAAATGGTTTTAACGCATGAGGTTGCATGTATATCGGATCATATCAAGGTGCGCGATCTTGATTTAAACAATTTGCGAATTATATATCATTAAATAATTAATTTAACAAGATATTTAACAAGATATCTTAAAGACATAATTTTACAATAGTTATATATATTCTTGTAATTAAATATAATATTTTATATATGTCGTTATTATTTTTATTAATATATTATTATAAAATATTTAGATTAAATATTTGGATATGAAGCACGCCCCTGAAATATGCTCCAAGATGCGTGTAAATTCATTCGTTAAGGCATTTAGGATTTTACACGTGTTCAGCAAAGATTCAGGTATTTATATATGTATAGTATTGTACTATACATTTATTGTACACATTGACAGCATTTAGTAAGATTAAAATACCGAAGACTTTAAATGTTTAATTGGAAAACTTATCTCCGAAGTACCTACTTTAGATCCACATTTCTAAAATTGTAATAATCTGTATCATATTTATTCATTAATTGTAATTCATCCATGATAAGAGCGATTTGGAAAGAAGGCTATTCATCGCCAAATGTTATTTAAATAAAAAATTATATAAAATACAAAAAAATGATTTTTTCTACAATAACTATGAAATGACTTCTTTCCCAATCGTTATGTTAGAGTAGTTACGAAAGTGACTTCAAGGTCATTTAGCGAAAAGTATCGTGAGAATCGTCTCCCGGCATCGCGCAAGTCACGCGCCGCTTCTCGCCGATTAACGATCGGTGAGTTTCAAGGAACTAGCGCGAAATCCTGGCCGAAGATTTCGGTCAAGCTCCTAATGACCCAGTTCCAGCGGCGCATGCTCGAGCGTGTGTATCCGACGACGTTGCTATAAGGGTAAAAACGTCGCGGCACACGTAGTCGTGCCGGCAGGTGCTGGCTCTCGCGCGCGGAATAAAGTTGAGTGGAAAGAGGAAAAGTAGATCGGCGATCCGGTCGATCGGAACGAAACGGCGTTGTCGCGGACAGTGGAGAAGATCGACGCGCAATCAGACTCTCGCGTTGTCCCTTCGAGATATATATCTCTCAGGATATCTAGGCCAAGGATGCGTCTCTCGGTAACGCTTCAATCAAGCGCTGCGCGCTTCGTAGTCGATTGTAATCGATGCCCCTCCGACGCTACAGATGATCGGCTTGAGACGCGTCGATATTCGTCCTCGTCGAGATTCAGAAGAGGTTCCGTTGTGGGATTTCTCTCGGGGAATTGAGAAGGCCCTGGCAAGTATCTCTTATATCGCGAATACTTCCGCAGAATCTGAGATTGTCCGTCGTCAGCAAAAAACCTAGAAAAACCACAAATCGTTTAAACTTTAATACGTTGTTACATGTTTTAACACTTTAGGAGACAGAATCCAGTTCTATATTTAAGATCGTTTTAAGTCGGATGGTCTTAAAAGACTTCATCCATCCAAGCAAGTGATCGCGTGGTATTTCAAGATCTTAAAGAATTTAAGACGATCTTAAACACAAGGTCGGGATATAAATACCGTCATTAAAGCTTGAAGGTTTCTCAATTCGTTTGAGTTTTCATAGATAATGGCCTAGTTTACACCGATCTCTTGATACGCGTATCAAATAGTATATTTGAACTGATCAGCCAATAATCAGACTTATTTACTAGTTATTTACTATTTAATACGCGTATCAAGTGATCGATGTAAACTAGGTCAATAAACGACTTCCTGCTCGATGATTTTTCTTCTTGGAAGCTCCACAAAATATTCCTCCCCCTATGCAAACTTTCGGGTCCCATTGCGTTCATTGGAAAGCAGGATCCTGGAAAACCGATCATATATTTTTTCTCTAAAAGCGGAAACGTGAAAAGTGAAAGGTTTTCTCGTAATGTATTTTACCAGTCTAACCGCCAAGCAAAGGTGCGGTAACCTCTCACAGAAGCCAACGAAATAACGAAGCTTAACGTACGATAACATTAACGACAGCGTCAACGATCTCTTACATAAGCCGTGATGCGACAGTTACATCATCGGCACTGAAAGCGTTAACGGACCCATAATCGTTCTGTGATATCAGTGAAAACTTGAAAGGTTCGCGCGGCATCATCAAAATGAGCGGAAAATGAAAGTCTCCCCTCGAAGCAACATGACCGACGTCCAGGACGGTGGAGGTATTCGCTTGTCCGGACCATCGTCGCCGTCCCGAGTCATCGCCAGCCGTCTCTCTCCTCGCCGAAGTCGAATAAATCGCGCGTCGCGCCCGCGCGCCGCGTGACCCAGATAGCGTGACGCGCGCGCGTGCGCGCGCGGTCCGCGCTCCCGAGGGTGTGTTTTCATCCCCGCTTCGTTTTTCCCGTGTGCGCGGAGAACAGCCCTCTCTTTCTTTCTCGCGCGCGCACTCCTGCACTCCTGCCTTCCTTCCCCGTCATCGCCATCGTCATCGCCGTCGTCGTGATCGCCGCCGCCTCGCAGTGCGAAAACACGACAGCTGGTGCAGCCGTGACACCTGCTGCAACCGCGAGAGATCGATATCCGCGCTCGTCCTCGCGGGAAAACACCCGGCCCGAGGAGGAAAAACGCGACGGGCGAGATCGGGGCATGTCCCCGTCGGAGCGGCGCTTCCCGCGACTTCCTCGCTCCTCGCCGTGCCGCCGCCGCGTCTCCCGTCGCGGGTGATGTAGCCGCCGCAGCGGGGAAAACGTCCACGGGATCCAGTGAGTATCCGGCGGCGTCTTCTCTCGTCAATCTCGTCATCACCCGTCACCCGACTGGCTTCGCGCAGTTCGCGCGATCGTTCCGTTTTGCGCCTCGTCGCTCGGTGAAGAAGAGGCCCGGTATTCTGGGACTCCTCTCGGCGGGACGGACTCTGTGCGCGACGCGCGCGCGGAAACTGCGTGTCGAGAATGTCGGAGATAGCGGCGGGTGGGTGAGCGAAGGAAACGTATACGTTGCAAGTCGGGAACGTTGATCTCTCGGTTCTCACGTTTCTCCCCTTCCTTCTAGCGACGCGGCGAAGGCTCACCGCAAATATATATGCTTTTCGCGATTTTTTTCCCCGTCTGGTAGCTTCGCGCGGAACGAAAATTTGTCAAGGTAGAACGTACAAGCGCGAGTGGACGGAATTCGAGGAGGCGTCGGGTGTCACCTATAGCCGAAATATATTGGCGGATTTCCGCCGGTCATCGGTTCCGGGCGAGGGGTTAACGCACTGCCGACGGCGGACGGCATCGCCAGATCGCCTGGCAGTCAGAGATAGTCTGTCGTAAAGCTTTGATACCGCGCTGATATACGGTTTCTCAGTCAGCAACGCGACGCGACGCGACGACGCTTCCACTCGCCGTGTGCCGTGTTTATATTGCAAGCGCGCTCGCCGACACTGTTTACGTTTCTTCTGCGCACGTGAGCGCAGGTACGCGCGGTATCGATCTCGGATGGGACCTCGGGAGAGAGATCCCTTTAATGAATTCAACGGGATGCAGTCGCGCGCCCGCTAAGAGGAAAGGTTTATTAATCCGTTATTGAAACGCAAAATATCCCGTTCTATTAAGCTCTTAACACGGCGCGACGTCTCGTTAAAACGAAGATAAAAGCGCGTTAAAAATAATCAAAATTATTTTTACGAACTCTTATCGAGATAGCTTCGCGAACGACGCGGATATATAATCATCGATATCACGTAGCTGATTGACGCAGGTAATATCGTTTTGACAAGTGCGACACAAAGTTTATCTTGTGCATCGGACAGGTGGCCGTCCACGGATGTTTTGAAAATACCGAGGGATCACTATGGTGTGAGCTTTGAGCTTTGTTCGTAAAAAGGAAATGAGAGAAAACGTGACCGCGTGAGACTGTTCCTTTGGCTGGCGACAATTCGGATCCGTACCTGCGGCGAAGTAATCAGAGATTTGCTGTTATCAAAGAAAGCTTCATGAGCTGCTGCCCTTTCATGTGAGTATCACGTATCATGTATATCTTGCCTGTTATTGTTTATATAAGCGTGAGATTATAATATTGCATATTATAATTTCACGTTTATACAATTACTTACATATTATAATTAGATATTGTATAAACGGGAGATATAATATAATTATGTATCTTTCATATTTAAATACAAATACTATGTGTATGTACGGATATCTTGCTATATTTAAAAAAAATATAATTTTAATTTAAAATTAGATATATATTCCTTTTATACATTCGCTCTTTTTTTAATAAAACAAAAACCAAGTATTCCATTCGTAAAACAATGTCATCGAAATAAGAATTTTCAAACGTTTTAGAAAAAAAAGAGAGCGAGAATATAAAATATATTCGTATGTTAATTAATAATTTAGCCAAGTCAAGAGATCGTTTGATTCGTTTGCATGCTACTCCACGCAGCACGCACACCCGCGCGTATACGGTGTCGTACGGCCACAAGTGCAAGGCGCAAACACGCCGGTCGGTCGCTGCACCTTTCGACTGCGCAGTGGAGAGTTTCACGAGAGAGGGTTTGCACGGCCGTGAACACGCGTGTTCCTTTATTATATACACGGCGCGTTGCCTATCTCTCCCACGCTCTCCGCCGCAATTCAACATTCAACCCGATTCAACCTCGCGGCCTCGCGCTCGCCGCTCTCCACGGCGCGAGTGACGTGACGCGACGGCTATCCCTCTATTCCCTCTTCTCTTCTCTTGCGCCGCCGCCGCCGGCGCCACACGGTATCGCGACTGATCCCCAGGACCGTACGTCGCCACCGAAGGACTCGCTTTCAAACTAATCCAAACCCCCTTCGAATCCGTATCTGTAAAGAATCGAAATTATTACGTACGAAAAACTTCCCGTGAGCGGGTCATATTCCGTCAGAATACGCATTTTTTCCAGTGTTAAAGCTTCTTATTAGTTAATCTTCTATAACGCGCCATGTAATTTTGAAGTCACACATAGGTGTATATATCTGTATTTTTTTATTCTTTCCAGCAAACACCAAGCATAACGGTAAAGTTACATGCAAGTTACAATTTCCTACTCGACAATGTAAATGTTAAATTGTAACTTGCGTGTAAATTTACTGTTACTTGGTGTTTGCTGGGCTATTTAAATTTTTCTCCACAACTAAGCGTCTAACTTATTTCAAGTTACAAACCGCGGCGTCTAGTTCTAAGAATTAGAAAAGGATAGGAAGTAAATTGAAACACGATTAAATTAATTTACATTGAAAACAGACGTAAGAATAATTAAATTGCGATACGGAAACTATCGAAAATCCGTGCTCGCGGCGCCCGCGCGTGCCACGGTGGTGCCCGGTGGCCAGCCGCGGGCGACGAACGCGCGCAGCTGTATAGCTGTAGCCCAAACGTGAGTCGCTGCTCGCTGAGCTCGCTGCGCTCTGCAGCTGATGCAGCCCGCTGCGCTGCGCTGCGCCATCCGCCGCCGCCGTCGTCGTCGTCCCGCGCGTCCGTCTGTGTTTTTGTTTAGGAAAAATGTGACGCGCCGAGATTCGACGTCGTCCCCGTGGATCTCGCGATCGTCCCCGATCGCCTCCCGCGTGTGCGTGCGCGAAATAAGAACCTCGACCGCGACCGGGACGTCCGGAAGAAAATTTACCAGAGCATCCCCTTCCCCTCTCTTGTCGCGAGAGGAAAAATCGTCGCCGAGACCGTCATCGGGCCCCGCGCGGCGCGATGCGGCGCGCGGAATTCGATGTGGCGCGCGTGAATTCGCTCCCTCCGCTCGTCCGGGTGATGGATCGCGAGGAGCGGAGGTAGAGTGTAGACTGGTAGACAAAGGGCCGATACACACACACACACGCGTGCGCGCGCGCGGGTCGCTCTTCGCGGTCGCCGAGCGTCCCGGCGCATTTATTTATATGCATCCGCGAGACATGCGGCCGTAAAAGAACGCGCGTCGCTCGCGCTTCGCGTTTCCGTGGCTTTCTCGTCCCCGAGGAATTCGGAATCGATTCGGCGCGTCGCATCCCGGAGTCCGAGTCCGGGGTTGCCCGTCGCAATTCTACGGCATGGTTGCGTTTGCCTCCGCGAGTCGTCCGTCTCTCTTCCTCTTGTGTCCGGCGACGGCGAGGGTGACGCGTTGACGCGACATGCACCGGCCACCGTGATCGTTGGATTCCTCAGGATTTCCAAGGAAGCTCGAGTGAGAGTAGGGCTGTGTGCGTGGTGGAGCGTGCTTTTGATAGAACGACCAGCGGAATATAGTCATTATGGAGGCGTTGCGTTTAGCTATACAGTGAGTGCTCCTTTTTTTCGGTAGATGCACCCCCTGGTTTGTTTTGGTCGCGCTTATGCATGCACAAAATGCAATTGTTCGTAGACAGACGTTGGGAGAAACGATCTGTATATGTAATTGTTTAAGTATTTTTTGTTTTTATTTATTTCTAGTAAAGAAACTCTTTGAATAACAGAATGTAATTTTTTTTCTTTATATCACTTATCTTTCAATTGTAAATTGGTATGTAAAATCTTTTATAGGAACTTTTATTTTATCTATGTGCAAAAATATTCCCAAATCTTGGACAAGAAGGAACTAAACAAATTATCCTTTTAGTTTTTTTGCATATTATTTATCTTAATTGTAAATCAATATGCAAAATTTCTTACAGAAATTTTTATTTTATCCTTGAGCAAAAATATTTTTAAATCTTGGACAAGAAAAAACTAAACAAATCATCTTCTTATATATGAATTATATATCTTTTTATTTATTATTTATTTTTTTTTATTTTTTACATTCTAAAGGAGACGATTTAATTCGACCTGACTGACCATTTATTAATATAATATTCAAATACACAACGTTTTGACATGGTTTGCGGCCCATGGGTTGTGTATTTGAATATTATATATTAATAAATGGCCAGTTGAATCGAATTAAAACCGATTTCTTTGGTTAATTATTACTGGCAAAGAAAAAGATTACCTTTGGGTTATACATTCTACTCGTTATACTCTGTTTTGTACACATTATATTTATTTAATATTGTCCCTTAATATTTAGCTGCAATGCTTGGATTGTGTTGACTTTAATTAGCAATTTTCCTTGTTTGTTTTAAGGACGCGGCTCGGGGAGAGGATGGTCAGCATGAGCTCCATGCTGGTAGAGACAGTCAGTATAAATTATGAAGATTTTAATGAGAGTTTTTTAACGTGTGGCACCTGTCTCTGTGTTTACGATGGCAGCGAGCATACACCTAAATTACTACCATGTTCACACACGGTATGATTTATATATAAAATAAAACATTCTCTGCATGTACATTGCATGTAATATATAAATATATATCTTTATAATCTTATATCTGTTTATTACAGGTATGTTTACATTGTTTGACAAGGATTGCTGCGTCTCAAACACGAGAGACAGGAGCGTTTAGATGTCCCATTTGTAGAGAATTAATAACTATTCCTCGTGGAGGGGTACCCGCACTGCCCCCGAGTTTTCTCGTAAATCAACTACTGGATCTCATGTCTCGGCAAAGACGAGAGGTATGTTTGAGCAGAATTGTCAATGCAGATACAATTTTCTTCTTCAATAGCCGTGAGTATCATTATATCGATTTGACGATTTACTTGCAGGTCATCCCAAAGTGTTCAGTTCATATAAATCAGGAATTATTATTTTGTGAAACATGTGATACAGTGTTCTGTACAGTGTGTACCGGTGGGACACATGCAGGGACGTCACCCGGATGTACGGAACATACAATCATCCCCTTTAGTATTGCGATAAAAAGAATGTCCGAAATATTGCTTTATAAAGCCAACGAGTGTATATCCAAGGTGAAAACTAGTTTTTGTTTTTAACTTTTGAGCACTATGCCTTATATTAGTCGATACATTTTTTGAGTTTTTATGCTTCATTTTTATTTCTTTATTATTATATACTTAATTTTATTTTTATATGCTTTATATTATGTCTGTTGTTGCAAATGTAAATTTAATACTTAAATAAGTTTTTATCCAAAAGCCGTTTATATGTATAAAAGTCTCACTTATATTTTAACATTTCTCATAATAACTTTTGTAATAGTATCCTAATTTTTATGTGCGTTGCTATATTTATCTACCAAATAACGCTTACAAATTAAGCAGTGAGAATTATCATCAAACTATAATACGAGCTATAACTGTTCGATCCTTACTGAGTTAAGAGTTACGTTTTTTAGTTAACACAGGCACAGGATTCTGTAAGCACGGAACTGCAACGTTTGGAGGCATCGACGGAAAAATGTTTGAATGCGGTAGACACGGAGTTCGCGGAAATCATCACAAAAATAAATAAACGTCGAACGGAATTGCAAGCTGCCGTAACTGCTGCGGCTCGTGATAAGAAACACGTACTTGAGGAGCAACATTCTCTTATTGAAGCGGAGAAAACCAAAGTGGAGAGAGAATGTGAAGGATTACAATATCAGGTAGAGGATAATAAAGAATATATTGATATAACGTTACTTCTCGTGCGTATCACTTTACACCGTGAGATTTAATCTGACAGGTCGAGGTCCGGAATATTACCCAACGTATTAACAGCCTGTCAGATCAGCTCGATGCAGCGACCGCTCTCAGCGAACCCAAGGAGAATGCTTTTATCACGTTCGAGTTCAATCATAATGACGCTCTCTCCCAATTGGAGCAGGCACTGAATAACTTGGGACGAGTACGTTCTAGTACAACATTACCAGGTATCTTAAGGATTAATAATATAGTAAAGTACTGAGACTTTAAAAAAAGATTACTCGTTTATATATTATAATTCATAATCGCGCGTTTCTTCTTACTTCTGATGTAAGATGTAGATTCATAATAATCTAGCGTCATGACCTAGTGTGAATCAAATGCTTAAGACGTCTGCGATGTGACGCATTTTCTATATTTATGCCTTTTACATCAGGTTTGTGCCGAGCCAGATTGAAAGACTTGGCAATAGTGAAGCTACAAACGATCGTCATAGTCGAAACGGTGGATTATCACGGCCATCCCCGAAATATCGGCGGTGATCTTATTAGCGCCGAATTGACACACGCAGACAACATGCATGCGGACAATCAGAACGCTCCCATTGAGACAGAAGTGAAAGATCTGGAGAATGGAACTTACGAAGTTTACTTCCGACCACCGACTGCAAGTCGATACGTTTTGAAGGTGTCGGTGTTTGAACGACCTATAAAAGATTATCCGCTATTTTTCGACGCGACCGAGCACAATGAACCTATTAAAACATATGGAAGACGTGGTAACGGGAAAGACGAGTTTCACCAGCCGGTCTCGGTTGCAGTGGACGATGAAGGAATGATCTATATTTTAGATACTGGAAATTCTCGTATTAAGGTTTGTTTGGAATAATATAGTGGAGAACGCAATATTTTACGTAAGCAAAATATTTAAATGTTTTCGTATTGTTTCAGGTACTCAATTGTGATTTGGAGTTTCAAAGGCATGTAAATAATGAAGGCTTAGAGGGCCGCAGTTGTACGGGAATAGGTATTTCTCAACAAGGTCTCGTAGTCGTAAATTGGCGGACGCGAAAGATTACGGAAATGACTTCGTTGGGTGATACAATCCGATCGTTCTCGCATAACGCATTTCAAGTTAGTAATTATTATCGCAAAAAATTTACACAAGTACTTCTTACTTTCTTAATTACGACATTGCTTTCGTGTTCCAGGAACCCATAGACATTGCAGTGGACAAGAGTTACGGGCACATACTTGTCGCTGACAACGGTCAAAGCTGTGTATTCGTATTTGATTCAGATGGCAAGATATTATTCCAGGTTAATTTTTGCTTACATAAATATATGAACTTTCACTGCAAGTTGCTTCATATGGTCCTCGTATAGTCATCACGAAACGTTAACAGGTTGGTAAGAGAGGCACGTTCAAGCTAATCAGTTCTGTAACTGTCGGTCCGGCCGGTGAGATTTTAGTTGCCGATAGCAGAATTCAAGTGTTCTCCGCGAAGGGAGATTTCTCCGAGGAAATATATCCTGAAGGCAAAGGTAAGTTTCTGTACATATATAACTACATATTTGTTTGAAATATTCTCTAACTGAAAATAACTCGAGAGATACCGTAATACTATATAAAAATAGAAAATCTATTTCATTGTGACAAAGATAAAGATTTTAGCATATTTGATTTATGTATATGACAGGAAAAGGTGTCTATGGAGGAATAGCCGTAGACGCGGACGGCAAAATAATCGGTACTCGCACGGACAAGGGTCGCAGCATAATACAAGTACTAAAGTTAGGCGGAGGTAATGTTTTAACCGAAATCGACTCACACAGCTCGAAATTGCGACGTCCCTCGGGCATAGCCGTGCTGCCAGATAATCACCTAGTGGTGGTGGACTTGGGCAATGATTGTATAAAAAAATACAGGTACTGGTAAAATGTCATTGTTTGTTTAAACATCAAAATTTCAATCCGCGAGCGAGAGGAAAGCTCATTACAAAGGTACCACAAAAGTCAATCTAATTTAGAATTATTTATTCAGGTTTTTGTGGGACTTGTAACATCACATATTATTACGAATGTAATGCCTATGTTTTTATAAATTTTTATATATAGTTTATAAATTAGTATAAGACGTGAGATAAAATAGTCAGGTCAAAAATAAATTTGACATTACTATTCTAACTTCGGTTTGCAATATACATATAGCATCACATATACTACAATTTATATTTTGTCTTTATCTATAAAATGTATTTAATTTTTTTTTGCGTTCAGTGTTGCTTTCTCTCGTTTTCTGCATATCCGTGTGTGGGAATACAAAAGTTCTCACCATTTTAAACAAAGTCACTCAAAATGCTCAGTACTTATTGTATGTATACTTTTTTTGTATTGTTTGATAATTTTTTTAAGTCAATCGCGATTAATATTTAATCGCTTGAATGCATAAAAACAACTCTGTTGTTACTGACTAATCTAGATACATCAGTTGATGATAATCCTTTCCTGATTTTGCCAAATTAAGCTTGAAAGTTGTTTATTTTGTTTTGCATGTCAAATATTCATCCACACATATGACAATCGCAACCATAATTGATCATTGAATAGCAAGAGAGATATACACAAATAATAAATAATCTAATGATTCTAAAACTATAACAAATCTGGATGTTACAGGATCTTCAATCGAAAAATCATCTCCTTCTTTTCATTATTAACGAACTTGCAAGAGATACTATATTTTTCTCATTAACAATTTTTTTTTTAACATCTGGATTCATATCCCAATGTTCCTAATTTGTACAAGCACAAACTCTGTTACATAAATGTTCATCTTGTGAAACATTAAAATATCCTAAAACCTTAATTGATGGAAATTAAATTTAAAAAAAGTAAATCTGTATTATTTCAGATAAAAGTTATTTTTAATTAATATTTCAACAATCGGTTTGATGCTTGGAGATTTATCGATTGGATATATTATATTTTCACGATAGAATTAATTTTTTCTTAATACAGCATATTATAAATTCAGTTAATTACAAAAGAAGTTTTATTGCAGTATTAAACTATAAATTTAAAATTTAAAACTATCAAGATTATCAAGATAATCTAGACAACTTCTAGATTTGTTTCGTCTTGATTTGTTTCAATAAGGAGAGTATCATTATTCGCGGATGTATAGTGTTATACAAAAGTATTACATATACATACACTGCCGTTCTATATTATTTTACAATACATCCCTTTCATAATAGTGCAGAGCTTTGCATTACATAAAATCAATCATATATGAATAGATTGCTTGGATACCATATTATTGAGATAAAAAAAAACATTTTTTTTAATTTAAAACTATTGATGTTTTTTTAAATCATTTCACATTTATTATCCTGCATGTTACGTTTATCAAATTATATTTATTAATTTATATTCTTTGTAATACGGAAAACGTAATTTTTATATTTTTTCTTCTTTTTATTTTACTTTCAAACTTTGCAGCATTTATTACCCGCTAAAATTTCTTGCATTTTCCTAAAAAAACAAGAAATTCGGGTAACTCACTTCGGCACTACGTGATTTGTGATTTTTTAATTAACTAAAAACATAAATTATAATTAATGTAAGATAGCTATGCAAATAATTAGAAATATGATAAGAATTGTACATATATTTTTTCAGTATTATCATACATTTTGATAGAATTGGCGACACGATTTATTTATCTAGAGATATCTTCCAAATTTCATGAGACACTTGTGATTCTCTCGAAAATGATGTACTTTTTTGAAGGCCTATAGTATTCATCATAACGGAATTTGTTGTTAAAAAAGACGATCCAGATTTTACACGTCTCGACTTTTATAAATATCAATGTGCAAATGATTCCATTGTTGAGATATGTCTTGTAATGTGTACATTGTTTAAGTTACTCTGGATAAATTATGGACTAGCATGAAAACTTAAGCAGGATTTATTGCGTCGCGCGATTACTTTTTCATACATTACGGAAATACTTAACGCCCGTCTGAAGATTATGGTTACAATCGTGAAGTGTTAGCTAAATATCACCATGATGCATATCTACTTATTCTTCGATACTTACTTCTTAACACCGAGAGTGATAAACTTACATGCGTACGGCTTACAGTTTCTATTTCTTTAAAGCAGGAAAATATATTTTTTCACCGTAACATACTTATATCTCCATGTAGAATCAATTCTTAAAATAATTAGCTTTATAACCATTTTTATGCCATTTTATCTTTTACGTGACTTGTACGAGTTGCAGTTTTAGAATCATCTGCCATGTTAATACCGACAAGAAAAATCCTTGTTGTATCGTAAAAAGTCTTTCTTAGAACGTGCAAAGCTACATTGAACATATATGACATGCAATTTAAATTTAATGAAAATGAATAATGTTTGTAATAAGTTTTGCGGCTTATATTTTTGCGGCGAATGCGAAATCTTTCAGTAATAACTTCCTATTTTTCGGACTGTATCGTAGAGATACGACATTCCTTATGAACTGCTTCGCAGAGTGATTTACCATAGGCTACATTTAATATAAACTGTCGCATATTGCTTGTATGTATGTACGAATACGACGAGTTACTATAAAACGCATTATCACGTTAGTCCTTAGCGAAAAGCATAAACAGTGCCTTTATTGAGAAGACGCCACCGTACGGTTTATATCTCACGACGATTGATTGATATATATTTCTTTTGTTCAAATCGATACCGTACACAGAAAAAAAGAATATTCTTAATTTAAAAATATCTTTAATTTAAACGTGGAAATCTTGAAACATTGATATTGCGTTGAGCGAAGAAAGCTTGCTTGAATGAAGTAATTTTATATATCAATCAAGAAAAAGAAGTTGAAATAAAAAGTTGAAATTCTTATAAGATTATAAATTGTTACGTATATATGAAACAATGAATAATTTATTAATTTGGGTATATGAGTTTTGATTTGACACTTCTTTTTTTCTGTGTACCGATGTGCTCAACACTTTGATCGTCACTCGTAATCATATACGTGAATCGCACATTTTTTTGGGAATTATGGCGTTTGGATAAAAAAGACGTGCTCTTCACTTAATCATTATCTACATGTGAGATACGAGTGCCAATGTGAATTAAAAAAAAAATAGAAATCAAGAGTTATCGTCTGTATACAAATTCCATAATTTCCCAACGAAGAATGTGTTCACGTACACGACGTGTCAGAGTGTTAGAATGGAGACGGAGCTGCGGCAGATCGAGAATCAAATTAGAATTTTCGTCGCAGTCGATCTGACATCGAAATTCTTCCGAAATTTCTGACCCTATTTGTTTTATTCAACGTATATATCTAGAGTTCAACAAGAACGTAGCGCATTGATTGTAACGTTGTGTCATTTTGTTCAAAGTCTGAATCCTAAAAAGCTAAGCCTGATTTATTTTCTACGTCAACGTCCTATTGTCGCCTAAGTGTCTACCCATAAGTAGCGTACCAATTTGACTCGATATCCTTTTCTTTTCCCCCGTATTTCTTTCAACGAATATCGATTCAGCCACCCGATCGCAAACACCATGCAAACTCAGACTGATATATATTTTCTCGTTTGTATTTTTTGATATTGTTTAATCTAGTCATACGTCAGCTATAACTGTAACACTTATGTATCATGACTCTATCACGCTGTAACATAAAATACATTGTAAATAAATATGTAAGCTTGATTCATTCGAGTGGTTTTAATTAACGCGCGGAACACTCGAGCGGGCCATACTTTAATTTCCCTCCCGAGCGCGCTTGAATATTCGATTATTCAAGCATACGTTATATTCGAGAGAATAATATTCAAACACGATTATTTATTATTCGAAAGAATTTAATACAACAAATGATATCGAATCGTATTTGATATTGCGCATTTTGAATTACAAATCCCTTTTTTTCCTGTTATATTCGATTCTTTAAGTACACGTTATATTCGTTCAAAAGAATAATATATTCAAATGTGATTATTTATTATTTCCCAATTCAATATTATTTGAATTAAATTCGAAAGAATCGTATTTTATATTGCGTACGTAGTACGTATTTTGAATTAAAAATCCCTTCCTTTCAAATACTCCTAAAAATAACTCCGACCAATGACTCCGAGTTATTTAATCGGCGATTAACTAATCAAGATAATACTGTTGTATTTCGTTCGCATGGATAGAGTTATTAATCTTTTTTTTTCTTTTTTTGTTCGATACACTTGATTGAAGGAGAGATTACGAGATCAGCGAATCGTGAAAATTTGCTAAGATTAACAAAAATCAGGCGAATTAATGACCGATTATGTTAATCGGAGTCGTGCCGCCACGCCGCGTGAGCCGCGTCGTGGAAAGACTGGCCCTCGACTATCACGCGGCCGCAAGGTGCCCGGCTTTGCGCGTAGGAGTCGTCGTCCCTGAGCGCGCGACAGAGACGGGAACTGGGGAGGGGAGCATTGGCGCGCGAGGGAGCGAGACGGCGATAGGACGCTAACTACCGCACTCGCCAAGTCGGCACGGTGCTGGGGCTGCTACGGTGGTAGTGAATGGAACGCGGTGTGCCTCACGTCCTCGCGTAGTACAACGCTCCGCGGGCGCCGCCGCCACCAATGGCCAGCGAGTACGGGCGGTCACGTGACGCGCGTGCCGAGGCAGCAGCAGAACATTGCAAATGACAAGACTACAAGACGCGTAGGGCATTGTCGTCGCGCCGCCGTCGTCGTCGCCGTCGCCGTCGTCGCTGTCGCCGCCGCCGACCCGTCGTCGCCGTCGCTCGAGAGTACTCTCCGGCCTCCGGCCGTCGCGCGTGGAAAATTCACCCTCCCCCGGAGTCCCCGGTGAAAGAGCGCTCGGCGCAGGTGCCTCCACGTCGGGACGCCAGGCGTCCCTGAAGCAGCCCGTAGCCCGTAGTTCGTAGTCGGTTGCGCGCGCGACTCGTCAGCGAGCTCCCGCGCCCTGAGAGAAAAAGAGCGTGAAAGAGAGCGGCCGCCAGCTCGGAAGGAAGCCGCCGCTGCCGCCAGGTGCGCGTCCGCTTCGGTTCGCGCGCGCGGACCTCGTGAATCGCCGTCGCCGTCGCCGTCGCCGTCGCCGTAGCCGCCGCCGCACCGCGAAAGTGAGAGGAAGATGTCGAGCTCGCAGCGTATGCGAAAGTCCTCGCCATGCTCGAAGCAGGGCCCGATGCGCGCCACCCTGCCCGTGAGCTCGCTGATGAGGCAGGGCCGGCAGAGCAGCAGCCTCCGCAAGAGCAACAGCAACAGCCCCACCGTCTCGCCGACGAACGCGGTCTGGCGGGCGCGCATCTCGCCGGAGACGTCGTCTTCCTCGGGACAGCGGAGCCCCGGATCCCTGTCCTACAAAGGTACGGTCGATCCCCCCCCCCCCCCCCTCTCTCTCTCTCCTTCTCTCTCTTGCTCTCTCTCTTTCTCGCTCTCGCTCTCGCTCCCGCTCCTCCCCCCTTTAAGCCGCGGGCTCGTTCTTTGTGCTCGTGGAGTTTTGATCGAGGAGTACGTAGTACGTATTCGCGCGCGTGACCCCCTCGAGGCACCGGAGTCGTCGTCGCGGAATATCTGATCCTGGGTGACGATGACTCCGGGGCTCGAAGAAACTGCCGGTACCGTCACTCGTTCTTCGAAAGGCATGTAATCCTTGGGGATTCTGGTCCAGTTAAGAGGTACGCAAATCACAGCAAATCATTCGAGTGCTCTGTGCAAAATTTAATATTTGTTGAAGCATCTTTTTCATAGGACGTCTTGCGTTACTACTCGGTTCAAGGTACGTAAGCTACGAAGAGTTTATCGCAAATGAGAGATGGTCTGTCTGATCAAAGTACTTCCTGAGTCTTCAAATTGTTTACAATTTGACACAAGGTTCTCTTCTTTTCGTTATTTGCAATACAGAATGGGAAAAAGAAGAGAAGGACTTGTAAGCTGTTCACCGTCTTTTAGCGTTGGAAGTTTCCTATGTTTCTTTATTATTATTCAACCAAGTTTACATAATGAAAAAAATTTTCTTTTTTTGATATAACACATAATGAAGAAAATGTTCTTTTTTTTTGTACAATTGAATTGCCTATTCCAAATTTGTTTATTTGTTGTCTGGTAAGTATCTGATGGTTATTTTTATTAATGTGTATTAACTATATCATAATATGTTTATATTGTTTATAACTTCCTTTGTACAATCCATAAATGTATTTTGCTCCGGTTACTCTCAATTATACACACTTTTCTGTTTTGAGGAATAAAATTTACTTTTGAGATAAGTAATTATATTTTTATTCCTGTAATGCTGCATATGGATCGCATCACAACTACAGTAACCGAAGAGACATTTTTAGTTCGGTTACACTATGTATTTGTTATTTTTATATCTATATGTTTTCTTATTACTTTATTTCACAAACATAATTTTTAGTTCCAGTAACCGAAAACAATGCTTATAGTTCGGTCTGGTGCGCATATATATTTTTGCACTTTAATCTTGTAATTTGTTAATTTCAGATTGAAATATTTTTACGTCATCGTCTTCTCGCTTAATTGAATATTATTATATTTTACAGCCAAATCAAAAACATTGAGCGGCCGCTGTAGCGATAGCTTAAGTGGAAGCCAGAGCATTCGACGGACAGCATCTCTAGACACCATCTATTTGAAAGGACAATGGCCACGTGACTCCTATTATATGCATTCCAGTCTTTTGGTAGACAAATCTACTCAGGTGCGTATATCTTGTTTCTTGCAAAAATGTTTACACAAAAACTTAAGCAATGTTACGTTTGCATCACATAACGCTTGTTTGGCATTCGTTTAGTTTGATTCACATGTATCTCTTATCTTTATTATAGACGGAAGAATGTCCCAATGAGCCAAGAAAGATGCATACACGTCATCCTACGGAACAAACTGTCACCGATGAGAAATTGGAGAAAAATTACTTCAGGCATCGGTATGTTTGTTTATATCGTTGACTGTGTCTTCTTTTTTCTTCTATATACGTTTATTGGAAAATCTAAATCTGTTTTATTACATTTTTATCGTAGATTACAACGTACAAATAAGGAAGGTACTAGCAGTAGAGAACGGACAGCGGCATTCGGACTAATAATGCCAGGTGGCCCACCACCCGCACTTCCCGGAGATCACTCAGTACTTTTGCCCAGTATTGCTTCACAGACATCCATGCGTGAGTAACTTTCCGAAAGCTCTTTGTTCTATTTGCAAGATCAATTAAACATTTGTGTTTAATATTCGTTATCTTTGCAGACAATCAATTTAGCTTGAGTACAAAAGCAAGTCCCATGAATATCCCAGTGAAACCAATAAGGCCTCCAATGCGTTCGTCTATCGAAGGACTCAATCAAGAAATTGAAGGACTCGTGCTCAAAAATACAGCCAACAACAGCGATGCAGACCATCCAGTAGAAGACAAGGTAATGTACAAAATTTCTAGTATATATTAATAGAATTCGATAAAATTTAAATAAGATAGAATAAATATTAATTTGTTATTTATGTATCTTATTTGGAAAAAGGCAGAAATCTTGTTTAAAGAAATATGCACTTAAAATTATATTTCATCTTTTCATTATTTTCGCAACGAGTATTTATATCTGTGTGGTGCCTTTTATCTCGAATACTTGTACTTATATCTAGGTACTGAAAATGTAAATTTACAATATCGTTAATTACAATAATTATTCTGGAAAGTATTCTGTAAGATAAAATAAAAGTTTCAAATTACGTGTTTCGTAAAATGGAGTTTTTGCTTGTGTGTTCTTTTTTAGCTTTCGCTTTATATTGCTTTCGATGATAAGTTTGAAATTTTTTTTCTTTAGTATGCACGATATCGCGAGCAAATTACACCCGAAGGACATCGCGCCCCTCTAGCAGACTTATTGCGGGCCACTCGGAGTGTTAACACACAAACACCGGCTACCGACCTTCCCTCCAGTTCTTATTCTTCAGGTAAATTATGCAATGACGTCTTTGTGCTTAATTGATTTTCAGGTATACATGGTGATTGTATATAATGATGATGATGATATAACGATAATTATGATTGTTATAAATATGCAAAAGATTTTCATAATAGTATAAGCTCTAGTATGAGCTCTTCAAAAGATAGCTAAGCAATAGCCAAGAAAATCGAGCTATTTTACGATTACATTTACTCTATATGTAGAGTGAATCTCTTAATGATAATTGGAAAAGTAATCTACATAAAAAAAAAACGATAAGTGGAACATATAGAATAAAATTTCTAAATACGAAAATTTGTAAAAAAAATTAAGTTTATGTAAAAAATTTTATTCTATTTTTTAACTTCTTTTTGTGTATGATGATACCCTTCCGGTTATCATCAATCAAGCCATTATAGCCAGCTTGTATATATACATACATATATTCTTTCTGGCTAAATGCAACAATATAAATAACACACTAACTGAAGGTGTGTGCCTGTTGAGACAGGCCCTCCATCTAGGAATTCTGACTCTCCGCTGATTCCTGGTGTTATGGATGCGTCCCGTCCGCCTAGCGATCTCTTACAAGGTTGGAGCATATTTGCGGAAAGATTTGATTTTTCGTTTTCACAGATCTCATTGAACAAATTTGTTTGTGTTTTTAATTCCTCGATTTGATTGATATTTGATTGATTGATATTACACATTGAATGACTTATACGTATCGATATATATATGTATAAATATATATACATGTTTTACACGTATGTGTGTGTATATGTATATATGCATAAATGAGTACAGTTATATTTTTACTAAAATCTACTAAGATATCTGTTTCATATGCATGGTATTATTATCGATTTCTAAAAGATTACCATCAAGATATATATAAAACTCAAATCTATAAAACTTAATTGTAAACTTTTAAAACTTGATCTTGTAAAAATGTAAAAGAATATCGAATTGTGTTTGCAGACAAATTTGTAGTCACGATTTTTATAATCATTATTTCGATTACGATCGAATTTCTATTCAAACTCTTATCAATTTTTTTAACCATCAATAACATGCATATCATTAGATGTTATAATACACAATAGGTAAACCAGATATTCTTAAACAAAATCATGTACATATACCTAAATTAGTTGCATGATTTGCTACTATCTATGAATGTTTTGTACACTCATTGTACATACATACATTTTATTCTTTAGAGTGAGGTATTCCTTTTGTAGGAAATATTGTTGTCAATATATTATGCACTGTACACACATAAAGATTCGAACAATAATATTACAAGTGCACGATAATTGCGATTTAATTCAATATATTTCAGAATAGATATTAATATTTATTTTATTTTGTTTAACATCATAAGAAAGCAAAAATATTAATGTTTAATATCATATGTATACAAGATTTCTTTCTATATTTTTAATATTATTAAATGCAGTATATATAAAGAAATAATTTCTCTTTCTTTACGCATTTATTTGGTAATTTTTATTACAAAATAAACGTACAAAGCCTGTTTTGCATAAATCTATACCTATTCTTTATATACGTACACTGAGCAAGCAACCATTGTGAAAATAGTGAGTGGCATGAATTCTTGTTACATATTTTCGATTGACATAAAGAACAACATGCTCCACGAGTTCCGTTTTCTACATGACTTCAACATTCTTCTTCGATTTGTAGGTGGAAGCCGTGGTTCAACACCTGAACAAGATAGAGAAGGACGTCTCGGCACTTCTCCTCACATTAACAGGTTCCTCGCGAGGGAACCGCCCGATGGCTGTGAGAAAGTCAACCTCAAATTTGTGGAAGATGCGAGGTAACGGAGATCATCATTCTCCCCTAGGGTATCATTTTTTATGGTTTAAATGATAACTTTTTTTTCATATTTCTATGCGCATAGGCGGCCCATGATAGATTTGAGCAAACTAGACTATTGCCCAAAGCCGTGCGTTCCAGCATTCCAGTTGAAACCCAGCTTGGGATCAGCGTTCCTGCCATTGCAACAGCCGGCCAGTCCGACAATGGTCGCCAGTGCATCACCCTCCGCGCATACAACACCGACCACACCTCCTCCAAATCCATAGTCCCACTCTTTACCTTGCGGTGTTACACTTATAAGCTCGATTAGTATATATACATATATATATTTTTTTTTAACGATCTTGTGGGTAGAAAGTGATTTACTTCGAGATAAAGGCATATAACGAAAAAGAAAAGTTACCGAACAAAAGAAAAAGAGCAGCCTGTTCCCAGTGCGTCTCGTGCGGACATTGTGCGGGCATCGTGAATTGTGTAATTAAAAAGAAGTTGCAATTGCACCGATAAAAAAAAAAGAAGTATTGGAAGACATTTGAGCTCCGTTATAATGATCGAAACAATAATAAATACGAGGAACAATAATTTGTGATAACTAAAAGGAGAAAACAAAAAGAAAAGAAACGACAAAAGGTTTAGGAATGAACATTGTGTTCTACAGGGAAAAAAAGACTAATGAAATTGCGTATTCTAAATTTAGTGCTAAAATGTGCTAAACGACTTTAGTTTTGTATACACGGATAAATATTCAAAATGAGAAAAAGGTATTAAATTTCATTGTTAAAATGGACAAAATTCTACGGATACAAAGAAGAGAGCACGTGTTCACAATATATATATGCATATGTACGCATATGTATATATACATTGCTACTTGTCTCTATAATGTTTTATTAGATCTTCATTGCTTGAAGTAACTCAATTACATAGTGACAGAGATGAATCACTTGTTAGGATTTTGTATCGTTTTGTATTATTACTTGTATGCTAAAAATATTCTCAAACTATTATTGTACAAGGAACTAAAAAATGATGTATCCTTCTGTGTGTATGTATGCGTGCGTGCGTGCGTGCGCGTGTCTGTTTTACAGAAGTGGCTTTCCTAGAACGTTTTTGATGTGAGATAGACACGGGCGATCGATTGTCGTGAAAATTTGTTTGGAGCTACACATATAGAAACACATTTTAATGGATTTATTTTTGATAAACGGAATTAAGTAAACCTATAAATTTTGAGATCGAAAGTGAATTCGATATTTTGAAGTATTTCATACTTTATTCGGAATTAATAATGTCTCATTTTTATATTCTGTCTTGCGACAATACCGTAGAATTACAATGTTTTTGGTTTGTCTTATATTAAATTGCAATCTGAATATGTACAACCAATACAACATACAATGGCAGGTTGATGAATGTATGATGGAATGAGTCTAACGAGACATGGATATGTGAACAGAAACAGAACAAAAACAATGAGAGTGATAATACTTAAATATTGATTGACGACATATGCTTTCGCCAGATGGTATCAGATGTGAGTAAAAACGGCTCCCTAATCTGGCACGGAAGAAGGGTGTGCGTGTATTTGTATAGACGTGGAGAATTATGCTGAAAACATATGATCTGCGTCCTATACAAGCAAAAGTATGCGTGTGTTGTAATATCAGAATCCTGATTAAGCCATTCACACGAATAACTTTGGAAAGAAATCGACTGACAAAGCAAAATCAATTTCAACGCGTAAAATATTTGCTCAAACGCAGTACGATTATCAATCTTTATGTTACATTAGATTAAACAATTAGCAATTCAGGTAGAAAAGTTGTTTAAATTTTTATCGAAAGCATTTATTAACAAAAATTAAAAAAAAAAAAGATTGTTATGTAAGGTACGAACGTGAGGAAAAGAAGTTGAAAGTTATTCGTGAGATGGGTTAAATTATTCTTTAGTATACGCAGACATAGCCACTCAAGAAGTTCAAGTTTATTTTTTGCTTTCTAATACGAAAAAAGTTTTTGCAAACGGTTTTTTAGTTACTGTCTGTGAAAAATAAGAATCTTGATAGAGTGTAAAGTCAAGAGCAGAAGGAACGGTTTTTTAAATACGATAGTAATATACTTTCTAATAATGTAATGTATATCTAGCTACAACAGTGAAGAAAAAAAAAGAATGTTAACACATAAGTACCTGGCACACTGGTCTATGCTCTCTCTTATCCAGCTCACTAGGAAGTTCATGCCTTAGAATGCGTGGTAAGGTGTGCTACATAGACAGGAAGGTTAATCAGAGAGTCAGGATACACACAAAAAAAATGCACTGGCTAGTTAAAGTGTATACAATACAAAGATACTGTAGTATTTACTAGTTTAAGAGAACTTCGTTTTTATTTATTTTGCTACAGATCTAACAACTCGTACCACCACTTTGTCGTATTATCTGAGTGTGAAGCAGCTTTTGAAGAGAAAGAAAACGTACTCAACTACTTCAGTCTGTTTGTGCTTCGAATGGAGAATGATTCCGACGTAACACGACGACAATGTATGATTAACGTTAATGAATAAAATGAAAGAACAGGTTTTCGTACTTTTAATAATGAGCAGTAGATGAAAAAGAAGTGATTTCAGCAAACGCTAGCCTCGTTATTTTCACCGCACTTTGTCAAAAGACTCCACTCTTTAACCTTCGTGTACTTGCATAATGTGTTATCATTATTGTTAACTTTTGTTGTCAATTCCGTAAGCAGAGTAACGCGTATGAAGACTGCTGGAACTGAGAATATTACCTGTTATTCGGATATACCTAAAAAAAAAAGAATCTAAAGTTAAATTAGGCTCAAATCATACCGATTACTTATGCACGAGTATAAATATACTTGTGTAATTTATTAAATAATCTCTTTACGTCACTATTGTTCGGTACATTCTCTCTACATATCTAAATCTGAGCAGGCTTCAGAAACGGCAAAATGATTATGTCAATTAAAAATTCATTTAACCCTAGGACAGTCTAGATGTGTTGATGCAGTATCTTGCACAAAAAACGAAAATTATTGTTGACCGTATATTGTAATTTGTAAGATGCTCAGAATTATACAAACTTTTCAGTACATAAAACATGTATGTTGTATAAAATATTTTTAAAAAAATTTTATATACCTGCTGAAATTAAATGCAATTTTTATTCACTGTTTTATAATAAATATGTAAAACATTATTTATTGTTTTTTTTTTTCAATTCTATTAGAAGGTTACTGTCGACCTACTTTCTAGAATTCAGTATTGCTTGTGTGCGCAAATGTATTCTAAAATATTTCGATGTACCGAGCAATGTATTTGTGCTATTCGAATGGTGCATATATATTTGCTAAAATAATCAAACTTTGACATTTTTTATTCAATTAAAAATAACAAAGCTTACGTAAATAAGCACTTTATTTCATTTTTTAACACATGTCATGGTTTATACATATAAAATATTCATAACGGTTATTAACCAATTAATATTTACAAAATTAAAAATTCTATAGTTTGTTACATGATCTGTAAAGGTTCGCCAACTTGGCCTTATAAATACGGATATATTTGAATTTCTAAAATAACAAACAATCGTATGTCTTATAATTAGTTGAGTTCTCAATATTCTAGAAGAGTATCTTACAGTGCTACTTATATGATACTATTGCTTTCTATTTTATCTTTGTAGATTGAACGGTTGGAATTTGTTTAGTTTCTAGCTGGTCCTAGGGCTAAATCAAAATTAGTCAGAGAAGAGAAATAGAGCATGTAAATAATAAGTTAATGCTTCTTGTACTAACCATTTCTGATACAGAACATAGCGTGCATATTTTCACAAAATTAAATGAAAGTTTAATGTTTTGATGAAGCAACAACAGCACGTTGATCAATGTATATATATTAATGTGTACATATACAAAAATAATTTCGTGCTCATATTTTTGCAATAATTACTTATCACTTAGTAATTCGTTCTTTTCGCTTACAAGATGTTCCAGAATTATTTTCGAGATACAAAAATTGATGTTAAGTGATAATTTTACTTCACATTTTCATAAAGAAGAAAATTTATTTCAATTTTCAACAAGAAACTATGATCTACATATATTATTCTGGAACAACCTGTATATTCTTATTCGTCACGATTTATTGGCTTAGTAGTCTTGCAAAAAAAATTCAATACTACGACACTTTCATTCGATCTAATATATGATTAGTGCGATTACTTTATTAAATGTCTCTTTTCGTAGTATTTTAACAATATTTCAATATATTCTCGCACGCGCGATCAATTATCACAAATATGTATTCAGGAATTGTATAAAAATATATAAAACAAAGTTAGTATTGAGAAAATATTAGATAAAATTTCGTGCTTTTTAATATCTATATTGAGTATTTTGACATGTTACACGATTAATTTGAACATGAAATTTGTCTAATTCTGTCATTCTTACTGGTTGTTTGAGAAAATAACATGGATGGTTTAATAACGATGCTTACCATGAATATGATTATTATAATACTGCGATTGTGATGTAATGTAATTTAAGCTCATGATATTTCGTTCGGCCATTGAGATAAACACATCGACATGTTGCATGATGGCTTCACAAAATGATATAATTATTACTGATCTTTATTCGTCGATCATAGGAAAAAAAGAGAAACGTTAATAATAATAAGTATATTTGTAACTTGGAGCGTACCATGCCATTAAGGAAGAAAGAACTTCTCTCAATATGGAAAGGTGAGCACAGCCAAAGTGTTGCCTAGTACAAATATATTGTAAAAAAAATGAATTGTTGTTTAAATGAGCCGAAAGTGCTACTTGCGTTTTGCGCAGATTTATTTCGAGATACACTTATCGATATCCTTGATCTCATGAGTCCTCTTAATATTATCTTACCTCTCCATAGTGAGAATATCTTATGTAAGTTATCAAAAAAATTCATGATTTTTACATGCGCGATTAGTTGTACTCTGATTTACCGGCATAATATTATACGTACTTATTCCGATAACAATATGCACCTTTATTTTTGTCATAAAGGATAAATGGAAAAATGTACCTTTTTATATTACTATTAAGACGCCTTACGTAAATAAACTTTTTAGAAAACGAGATAGATATCTTGTAATTTCATACGCATTACACTTTGTTATCGTAAGTAATAATTTATTTAATATGTTTCAATCACACGAATAAGTTCATATATTATTTATTAGTTGTTTTCTCTTCATTCTTATTAAAAAAAAAGATTATGATATATATCTGAACAATATCATGTTTCATTCAGCCAACTGGTATACATTTGTATTTTTTAATCGCTTTTGAACTGTTATGTTCATCTAAATTTATATTTGAGCAAACATAATTTATATTTTATTACTATTATTATTTTACAGCATTTAACTATATTCAATTATATATTGGGTTTCATAGATCAATAACAAATACTATTAATATTGCGTTGGAGTTAATAAAAATAGTGTAATTTATTATTTTTAGACTTTCTTTTATAATTAAATCGATAG